CTCTGTACCCCCCTTCCCCACAGCCACCTGTGACCTGCAGGGAACTTACTGGCCCTGGATAGGTCACCAGGCTGTAAACAGTCACCCCACTCCTCACATCCCCAGGGCCAAGACGCTTTTTTTTTTTTTTTTTTTTTTTTTTTTTTTTTTTTTACTTACTATTGCATCCCCAGGGCCAAACACACATGTGTAGCCTTTTAACCAGGCGCTTTCCTTATTACATCTCCGCTGAGAGCTGGAAAAATAAATGGGTCTCAAGCCTTGCCTTCTGCCTTTACTTACCTGAGGCTTAGAGGAGTTCAGAAAGTCCTTCAAGACCACAGAGCTGCGAGAGGGAGGTGGGAACTGAACCCTGGTCAAATGCTCAGCTCTGTCTGTTCATCCTGGGGCTGCTCTCAGGACACAGGATCACCAGGGAGCTTGTCAGAATGCAGGTTCCCGGGCTTCCAGCCTAGACCTCCGGGACTAGCACCCTGGCAGAAGGGGGCGGGGGGGGGCAGGAATCCGAGTACAGGTGATTGTTCCGGAACCTCCAGTGCGGCCTCTCCGTGGCCCCTCCTTATGGCCAGCCCTGCACACAGGTTTCCTTACCTCCCTGATCCCGCATGCGCCCTTCCCTCCGTTGCACTGAGGATGTGTCCTGGCAGGGAGCTCTCACTCATAGGCTGTCTGGGTGGTGCCTCTAGCCAGCTCCACGGGGAAGAGAACTTGAGTGGGAGGAGCAGGCTGCCTTCACTCATCCATTCAATCCATCAGTCAGTCAACTGGCCACCATCGCATCCTCACCGGGCAGCCCTCTAGGGACTGGGAGGCTACAGGGCGATAAGGCCAGCTGTATTAGAGAGCGCGACATGGGGTAGTTCTGGCTTTGGGTTCCGGCAGCTTTACTTCAAATCCCAGCTTCCGCCAAAACCGGTTTGGTTCAGTGGATAGAGCCTCGGCCTGCGGACTAAAAGGTCCCAGGTTCGATTCTGGTTAAGGGCATGTACCTGGGTTGCGGGCACATTCCCAGTGGGAGATGTGCAGGAGGCAGCTGATAGATGTTTCTCTCTCATCGATGTTTCTAACTCTCTATCTCTCTCCCTTCCTCTCTGTAAAAAATCAGTAAAATATAT